TAGAGTTCATACAGTCAGGAATGCAAAAGACTTCTGAGGAGATGGAAAGAATTATTGACAAACACCACTTACGTCAGTACTCAGGAGTTTACGATATGAAACGACTTACAAACTACATTCTATCAAAACTTTCAAAATACCCCTTCAAAAAATATCCTTCAAATACTTTGTTAGTTTGCGACGACTTCGCCGGAAAAGGTTTAGTGTCAAAACCAGACTCACCATTAGCTAACATCATAACTAAAGTCAGACATTACCATTTAACTGTAGCAATACTTATGCAAACATGGAGGTTTTTAGCTTTAAACATAAAACGTCTCATAACTGACTTCGTTATCTTTCAAGGTTTCTCACGCTATGATATTGAACTCATTTGGAAACAGTCAGGTATAACATTACCTTTTGAAGAAATTTGGGAAGCATATAAGTCTCTCATCTCTCCTCGTTCATACCTTGAGATTCATATCATGACTAATACCATTAAAGTCAAAAATATTCCATGGGAACGACCAACATTGTTTTAAAGTTTAACCTTCAATTGACTGATGGTAAACAAATTCCATGCATCTCTGTCGCCATTTCTGTTAATATTTTTGCTGTCATTCATATCATCCACTTCCCCATCCGTTAGCTTTTGAGGATATGCGTTAGAATAGCTGTTCTTAAATGAAGGCTTTTCACCTTTGAGAGCATAAACTCTATAACTTTCTGCATACTTTATGTTTGAACCTCCTGAGCCATCATTGACATAAATTTTTATAGGCTTCCACCCTTTGTTCATGTTCCTGCTTCTTCCCTTAGCTCTTTTGTTCAGTAGTTCTACATCTTTATACACAGCTCCTGTCTCAGTGAATTCAACAATATTTTCATTCGTTAGCTTTACATTCAAACCCTTGTCGAGTATATTGTTCATTTCATACATATAAAAGGTTTTTATTCTATATGAAATGAGAAGCAAATCCATCTTAGCTGGTGCCGTTAATGTTCCAATTGAACCAACATCAAATGTTGACTCACGAACGACAAACAATATTGTCATAAAGAACTATAGTTCAGAGTGTTTGAAAGAAAAAGAACCAGAACTTAAGTCGGGACCTTCGGTCTTGGAGCATGGCGCCGTGAATTTAAACACAACTTCAAACGCTAACGCTACATCAGATGTTAAGTTAGAGTATCCACCACTGGACCAAATTCTTTCAAGAGAAGCCAACGACAACCCTTACACAAATGTTCAAACAAATCCTTCAGATAACGTAGACCATTACCTTCTTCAGTTATAACAAACAATTTTACTCAAAGACGATAAGAAGCTTTTGGTAAATCTTATAAGCAAGAACCAAATAATTCTAACAAAGGAGGACCTTGAAAATGTTATCTCACGAATAACAGGGAAACAATGTGTCATTGACTATCTCGACCCTGAAATCGAATGCTGTGGTCAAACTCCACTATTCATGAAAATAGGTAACATCCGCATCATTGAAACACCAGGAACTACAGGAGTTGAGTTTAAGTATAAATATTCGAATGAATATACAAAACTTTCAACAGAATATAAGCTTTGTTTGAAATATGTTTTAGTAAATTAAAGCAGTCAGGAGGGCTCTTTGAGCCCATCTTGGCGCTTTGCACCGTCAGTCAAAAAAAATTTCAAGTTAGCAATTTGTAATATCTATCCAAAACTTCTTCAACAGTATCGAACTCATCTTCATAATGCAAACCTAATCTTATTGACTTGGTGCAGTTTTCACTAACACAATATTTTTCTGTTCTCTTGACTGACATAATTAACTCATCTGTTTCATCAAACAGCAACAACCAAAGTTCATGACCTAATACATAACATTCATACTTTATATTTTTAGCTCTGAGTTCTCTTGTAAGCTGTTGCATTTAATATTTTCTAAAAAGTCAACTTCAACAGTCATTCGCACTGGTGCCTTCAGTTCTACAGGCTCTCCTTGAAAGTCAACAAGTCTGAATTGCATGTCTTTCCAAATTATGAGGACTAATGCGAACCCATTTACCTAAATGAGTTGCTATGACAGGAACGTTTGGAATGAACATTGAATTGACTGCATAACAGAAGGATTTATATTCTACTGAACCTTTACTATTAACTCCTGAAATACCTGTGACATTAGCTATTTAGACTCAATGTACAAACAATTACCATAACATACGTATGGAACAGATTTCATCTCAATCGTTTTGTCAACACTTTTCAAAGGAAATGTCATATGGTATGCACCCAAAAGAAGTTGTACTCTATGACTCATTCTTGGTATCTTAAACTCCTTCGCATAACTGAACTTCAAAACTCCTGCAATAAGTTTAACATTCATTAAGTTTTCTTCGTTATCCTTGTTTATTGTAGTATTTATGAGAGCATTTAACACTCCAGCTAATGTTTCCATCTTATATTCTACATTATTGTGAAATCTTATTTCGTGCTTCTTTCCATCTATTTCAATCTCCATGAAATCTGTTTCATCTGTTATGACAAAAGTTGCGATAGTATTGAAGTCAACAACTCTGAAAGCAAGCGCTTCATTCTGAAGACCTAAGTTTGTTTGTAGCTTTACTGTCCCGTATTCGTTTGGGTCTGTACTTTGCAAATAGAACAACATTTTATTCTCATTAAAATATGACTATTGCTGCATATGCGTATGAAACAAATGAAGCAAGAAGAGCACATGAACTAGTAAACGAAAACTCAACTTTAACCATTGAAGGCAATGATTTAGTCATTGACGATGGAAAAACTAAAAAAGTCATTGATTTCGATACTTTTAACACTTATGACCCATTCATTACAACAAGCAAGGTTCCCATCATAAATGATGGAACGGTGCAATATATAAATTCTACAGTAGATGCCTCATTAGTGAAAGTATTAAATGTTCTCATTGAATTGTTAAAGAGCTTTCGATTTGACGACAACATTAAATGCCTAAAGAATTTAGTCATGAATGAGAAACAAATTCTTGGCGTTGCTGGTAGCAGTAATGATGTACACCTTATGACATTAGAATATTATAACGAACATAAAGATGAACTGAAAGGAGAGAAGGGTGACACTGGACCTCAAGGACCACAAGGAATACAAGGAATACAAGGACCTCAAGGCGAAAACGGTTTGGATGGTGAAGATGGAAAGGATGGAAAAACTGCTAAATCATGGATATGGAACCTTATAAATACTGGTTTAACAGCTGCTTCATATGGAGTTCTTCAATACCAAATCGGAAAGATATGGGCAGTACTTGGTGAAGAAGTTTTAGATGACGTTAAAAATGCTTTGAACTTCATTTCAAATGGTTCGGATACTATTAAAACTTTATCTGGTTGGATGCAAGAAACAAGGAGTCAAATAGATACTGTAAGACGTATAGCAAACAATGCACGTACGGGATTGGATACTTTACGAGAAGCACAAAATACACTAAAGGAGCAAATGATATTCTTGGCTCAGTATCAGACATGCATGAAGATTGGCTTAAAGGTATTGACAAATCTTTAAAAAATCACAGTCAGTCTATTGCTGACTACAAGAAAAGTATAGATTTTTTACATAGTGCTATGGACGTACATGATGGAAGCATAAGGAACTTACTTAATGCTAACAATAACTTACCAGGAACTATTAAAGCATTTATAAAGTCCTTTGTAAAACCTGGTGCTCTAACATTTAGGTCTTTGAGAGCAAGAGCATTGAAGTCAAGAGATGCAGAAACTCCAACAGAACCTACAGAAGGAACTGAAACAACAGAAACTCCAAAAGAACCACCAAAACCAACAGCTAATGAAATATTGTTCGAATATTTTCCAAGGTACTCTGTTCTCATTGCATACATTCAAGAAATACTTAAGAAAGCAGACTTGACTTTAGGAGATGATGAAAGTTCTGTATATCTTTCGTTCCAGTTTCAAATAGCAGAACTTTTGAGACAGATATGCTTAATGTATGACAACATCTCTGATTTCACAAGATATGATGACGACCATGACCCCGAACACGGTGAAGAAGAAGTTTTACAAACATCCATTAAGACAGGAAAGGTTTTAACTCAAAGTCTCATTATTGACACCAAAGATGGCGAAGTGGACGTTCTTCAAGAGCTGAAGAAAAATACTTCTTCGGGAGGTGGTGGTAGGCATGAACTTGAAATAAATGAGATAGAAGAGAAATTAGCCGAAAAAGCAGATAAAAACCATGTTCATTATATAAGTTCAGACGAACAGATTATAACGGACTACCATGGATATTTAACACAGGATGAAGAAGTGAAGACGGAAGATGTTAATGAAAGAAGATATAAATTCATTCGTGCTAAAGGTTATGACATACACTGTACTGTACAGTATGACACAGGTAAAGCACCAGAAGCATTTGGTTATAACGATGAAATTTATGCCTCTAGTTTCTTTGTTAACGGTGTATTAGTTGAACCAAGATTTACTTTGAGAGTTAAGGCAAAAATAACTTTTGAAGATGCTATTAAAAGTAAAGCTGACAAAGATGAACTTGAAGCAATGAACAAAGTTTTGAAATCTCATAAACACAATATCTCCGATATAAATGAACTTCAAGCTACATTAAATAGTAAAGCTGACAAGAACCATACACATGAATCCTTCACTACTGTTAGAGCAGACGACATAATATTGAACTATACCCTTGGTTCAAGTGCACCTTTAGAGAATCCAAGTACAAGCGTAAAAGATACACTAAACTCCTTAAATAGTAAATGTATGAACATTGAAGGTCATGCCAGAAACTTTGAAACACATGAACTACCAGCAATGTTAGATAAGAAAGCTGACAAAGAACATACACATAACTCCTTCTCAACTGTTGCTATAGAAAGTATTGAAGGAACGGTTGGCGGAACTGGTGGGATGCATTAATTATATAACCTCCTAACTTTCCACAAGGTTTAACATCGAATGAAAACATAACAACGAAGAAAGAAATTAGCTGTAAAAATGTTTATGTCATGGATGATGAAAATAATGTTAAATTCACTGCTCAAGATTTATATGATAAGAAAGCAGACAAAACAGAGCTTCAAACATTAAAGACTGAAATACTTCAAACATTATATCCTATAGGCTCTATTTATACGTCAATGAATTCAACAAATCCAGAAACAGTTTTAGGTTTTGGTACGTGGAAGCAGATTGTAGATAAATTCTTATACTGTGCTAGATATTCAAAGCAAACAGGAGGTTCGAAGAAAATTAAAGAAGCAAACCTTCCACCGCACACTCATACAGGAACTACAAACTTTTCTGGCGACCATAGCCACTCATTAAGAGACCACCCATTATACAACTCAGACTATGAAGCAGGCAATGACGTTTTATCTCCATCTTATAACAATGCAGCAAAAAAGATTTTTCGACCAACTGAACCAGGAGGAAATCATTCACACACTTTCACAACAAATCCAACAGGCTCGGGTGCAGATTATATGCCACCATTTGTGACTGTATTCGCATGGTACCGCGTTCATTGAACGCGCTTGAGCCTAGAATAAAATCTTTAACTTTACATAAATGAGCTTGAAAGAAGTATTCAAACAACATCCATGGAGGTCATTTAAGAAATTCAATGAAGCTGCAAAGAGTTGGGGATTTACTAACAGAGCTGAAGTGAAAAGGTTCTTTGACAAAAATGTTGTACATCAAACAAAAATAAACCCTTACGACTACTTTTTACCAATTTACTCCAACGCTCCTGACGCATACCAATTTGACACTCTCATTCAAAGCAGAAAAGGAGGACATAAACCATTCCTCATCTTCATTAATGTTAACACTCGTAAAGCATATGCATATCCAATGAAAAATAAAGGAACTCATGAAGTGTTAAGAGTTTTACAAAAGTTTGTAGCAGAACATAGCCCAAGTACTTTAACATCAGACCAAGACAGTGCTTACCTCAGCAATGAAATCACAGATTTTCTCATTAAGCATAACATAACTCACTACACTACTGAAGACCATAACCATAACATACTCGGCATCATAAACCGCTTCATAAGAACGCTCAGAGATTTAAACCAAGAGCGAGACTTTACCGAAGAAACAATGAAACATTTTCTCGAAGTATATAATTCCTCAACACATTCTACAACAGGACATACACCAAATTCAATGACACAACAACAAGAAGAAAAGTATATACAAAAGAAACGAAGTCAAACACAAAATATCAGAAATTCAACACAATTTACCATCATTCCTGGTACAAAAGTTCGTGTAGTTCTTGACGACAAACCGTTGACAAAGAAACGTTTAAGGTTAAGTAGAAACTATTATATCGTAGACTCTACGCAAAGTAATGGATATCTTATAAAAGCTGCTGACGACTCTATTGCGTTTTACACTCGACATAAATTAGTTGAAAGTAGTAATGGCAAACTTGCTGAAACCATTGACGAAGCAAAGCGAGGAGTGGTTATTGAAATACTTGGCTATAACATAAACGATGACACTTATAAAGTAAGATATAAGGAGGCGTTGAAGATGTTATATACCATCTAAGAACTTGAGAGAGTCAAAGTCAACACATCTGGGACCATTAGAGCGGGAGTACTGGAAAGACAAAAATAAGCCAGAAAGAATAAGAAAATTCTTCTAAACTTTTTCATTAGATGTAAATCAGACATGAATGAGAACAGTCATGATATCATTAATGGTACCATTTATTTTAACATAAAAGACCGCAAAGCGCGAGGACGAAGTCCATGACCAAAAATATAATTGAGGTTGAAGAGGTGAGATTTCACCCGTTTTTTCACCTGTTTTTTCACCCTCACGAATTTTCATGAATTTCCTTAAGATAGAAAAAATAAAGTTAGTTTTATTTTTATTTTTTTTTATTTGTATAAAGATATGATTTCAACAATCGGCACAACAACAATTCAAGCCACAAAACGGCGGGACTCTGTCCACAACTACAGCACCAAACTCGCTAGTCATGAATCCTACGTCAATGTTGGTAGAGATGAAAAGCTTTATTCCTTCTTCATATAACTTTTGAAACAGAAATCCAGAAGATAAAGCAAGAACTTTTAACAAGTAATTTAGACTGTAGTGCGAAAGATGAAACAAATGACAGTATCTTTATGAAATGGAGGACCTCATCGACCATTTGCCTAAACTACCTGAAATCAGCAGCAAAAACTAACTATTCCTGAATTCGACGAAATTGAAGTCAAAGCAACTGACTCAGTAGAAATTAAGAAATTCATACGTAAGTAAATTATGAATTCCTTGGTTTTCATTGCAACCATAAAGTTATGGACAAAGATTGCGACATGGTTTATAAAAATATTTCTGACCTTTACATCCGAAGAATTTAAGACAAACGATAACTTTGTTTCATTAGTTGCAAAATGGTATGGCAGATAAGAGATAAAGATAGAAGAGGTAAGGTATGGAATGAACAGATAAAACCAGCAGCTTTTGAGTTAAAGAAAACCATTGACGCCTTAGTTGTTCTAGCTGGTTTTATTTCAATGTATAACGCAAAAACGATGCCGCAATGTTCAAAATGTAAAGCAGCAATAAGAAAATATAACTACTCAGTCAAAGAGATAGAAAGAATGCGAAACGACTATGCAGACTTAAAGAAAGAAGCAGAGAAGCCGGTAGAAAATAAAATGGACATGCTGTCATTTCTGAACAAAAACTATCCAACTGCTGACGATTTCCTTCTGTCTGACGTCAAGAAGAAATATAAAGAAACCTTCGGCATTGTTAAAACATTCGATGTACTAAAAGAAGAAATAGAAGCTACGAAATTGTTTAGGATTTCAAATATACATCGTACAATTCATGTAAAACGCTTGTGAAAAAAGAGGTGAAAAATTAGGTGAAAAAACAGGTGAGATCTCCCCTCTTCACCTAAAAATTATTTTTGGTCAAAGCTTCCACGAGAGAAAAGATTCCTCATTCGCTAAGGATTCCAAAAATGAAAAAATCATTGATTTCGGCTGAGAAAAAACAGCAAAACCCTTCTTCCACGGGAACAAAGAAATAAAGAAGAAATAAAGTAAATTTTTTATTTATTCCCGTGGAAGATAGAGCACTTTTATGACGCTTTTTATTCACGACAAACAAGACAAACAAAGAAAATAAGAAAATACGGCGCTGCCGCGGTTCGAACCACAGACCCTGACCCCTCCATAACACCACCTTAGATCACTGTGCTACGTAGCCTGTCGACATAAGATTTTATAAATTGCATATTTGACGTAAATTTATTTCCATCTAGCTTCCCACCGCATAAGATATTCATACGTGTTTGTAAGACATTCATTAAACTTCTTTTCTATTGCATCTAATCTTGCGTTATTTTTTTCAATAACTTGTCTGTATTCTTCATCATCTCCAGCGGTGTTTGAGTCTTCACGTTTAAAATATTCATCCAATTTTTTATCTACAAATTTTATTAGTGTTTGATTCACTTCGTTATGATAACGGTCATATTCTTTCAATACGTAAGTGAAGACAAAATGCGTCGTACCTTCAATCTTAAAGCTTAAAGAACTTTCAACACAGTTTTGAGGGTCTGTCAGTGCGTCAATGAGATAGTATTCGAAGTCAGTCAATAATCTTTTTAAAGTCATTTCATACAGGATAAAATTTAATGATATATACTGAAGAGTTGGAGAAAGAAGAAGATAAAGATATGGTTATGTTGCATTTAGTCAGAAGAAACAACAAGAGCTTTTATGACTTAGCTAAAATATATAAATCTGACAGAAACTGGTTCTATCGTGAAAACTTACCGATTTCAATGACACCGAATGAGCAAATAAAGGAAATTGTCAAAAATACTCTTCCTCAAACACACTATGACATCAAAGGTTGCACAATACTTACATTCAAAGAAGACTTAACATTACTGAAGGAAAAAATAACAGAATATTTCGAAAACTTCAAAGAGGAAGAATAAAAAAATCTAAGCTAATTTTATTTTTTTTTATAAAATTTTATCTCATATGAAAGAACATGAATTTAGAATATTCGGAACTCATGACAGAAGAAGAGAACGAACAACATGTAAAAGATTATGCAAAATTTCTGAAGACATACAAAGCATTTAAACAATATCTAAATGCTTCTAAAGATTATGCAAAATTTCTGAAGGTATATAAAGCTTATGAAAAAGCGTATGAAAAGTTTATACATTGGGGAATTGTTGTAAAATATCGATATGAAGACTAACCAAAAATATATTTTTGCTTAAATAGCTTCAGGGTCTATTTCTTCAACCATTTCACTTCCTTCGTCAATGTCAATAGAAGCTTCTTCAACCTTTGGTAAGAATTTCTGTATAACATCTTTGTTCGTTATTGTCTTCAGAGATGAAGGATAATATTTCACATTTGTTTCACCCTTCTTATATTCTTTCTGTTCGGAAAGATTTAAAGCAATACTGAAGAAGTCAACGTTAGAGTTCTTTATGACAGTATAATGAGTATCTTTGACATTCACGAAGAAACTCTTTTGTTTCAAAACTACTGCTAACTCTTGTGAAGTATAACGTTTGCGGTCAATGACGATAGCTAATGGTCTGACATACTGACCAAACTTAGATTCTTTCACAAACTTCTTGTTAAAGATAACATTAACATTTGAAGCATTATTGAACTCATTCTTGATGGCAGTAGCGAGAGCATTGTATGAAAAGAACTTGCAATCTTGCATGTGTTTCATTAAAATAAAAATATTAAATTATTTTGAAAAATAACTTTAAAAAAATCTAATCTAATTTTTTCAAAAAATATTTTTTTTATTTCCTACTAAAGATGTATCGGAAGTTGTCTAAGTTAGAACACTCGGAAATAAAACAACTTCTTACAGAAGCTAATATAGATGTTGCAAAGCATTACGCAACAAACAAAAAAGCACTCGCTGACTTCATTAAAGACTATAATGGTGCAATAAGTTATGATAGAATTCATGAGTTCATAAAGCGCAACGCGGCGAGGACGAAGTCCATGCAAGAGCATTTCCTTTAAATGACGTTGCTATTGACTTATATCATAGACGTTCAGTACCTCATGAAGTAAGAAGAGAAATGTTTGACATAACAAATGCGAACGTTGGTGAAACAAGAAGAAGAGACGACACACTGAAACAACAGAGAAGAGAGATGTTTAAGAGCGCTATAGAACAAGTTCGCAAAGCTAACGATGTCCATTCGTTCCATTGACGACAAACCAAAAGAAGGTGAGAGATGGTTAAAGAAAGATGAAGAGAATAGGAAGAGAAATGTGAAGTCAGGCAATAGACTCATTGACTTTAACATCGAAGCTTTAGATGAACCAAACAGAGACTACTTACACAAACATTTCGGTAAGGTTTTCATGAGACTCTTAGAGAAAATTAAAATAAACTCACAACAGAGATGGATGGTATGTTATAAACTTGGTGGAAAGTATGAATGTTCTACGTTAAACCTCAATAATATTGGAACATTACTACATCAGCTCTTGAAGGAGAACTTTATATCAGAGATAGAAGCAAATGCTGCAGGTATTGTTGAAATGCACTATGACTTCTTCTTGACAAACATAAAGAATCTTACTGAAATAAAGATGTATGATTTAACAGAATATGAAGGCTTAACGATGTCAGATGTAAAGAAAGGCAAACCAAAAAAGAGACCATATAGAGATGAAAGCACACTGACAAATGACCAGAAAGCCATTTTGGAAGCTCTTAAGCAAACAGGAAACCCAGCACTTATAGAAAGCTTTTGGAAAGATAATGGTGAAAAGAAGTTTTATAAGAAGAGAAGCGGTCAGTTCTGGAAGTATCTTTGCACATTACCTATAAATCTTGAACGCTACCAAATTTCAATGAATTGAACAAAAGAACTGCACACTTATGACAGAAGACAATTGTTTCGTTTATGCTTGCATTCAGGCTGGAGTAGATGGAGAGACTATTGACCACATGAGAGAAGTCATTCGTGTTAGAGACTTTCCTCAAAGTAAAGTACAAGAAATTTCTGACGCAACAGGTATAGCATTTAATGTTACCATTGGTTACTTCAATGACTCAAGACATAATGAAATAAAGAGATACATACCAAAAGAATGTGAAACTGTTCGAACTATTGACTTACTTCTTGTTGAAGACCACTACATGCTAAATGAAA